ACAGGAGGGGTCTGGTGTCCCCTTTGCCCCCCTGAGGGGCTCCTGCAGTAAAATGGGTGATGCTGCCTTGGCAGCTTCACCTCTGGACTGAGGATGGGCACATTGCCCTTCTCCTGTCCCTGGCCACCAAAGCAGCTCCTGGTTTGTCCCCCCTCCACCAGCACCAGGCAAAGGGAGCTGCAGTTCCTTCCCTTGGGCTCTCCCCATTTATGAAATTATTTATTTTTGCCCATTTTCCCCCCATCCAGGGGTTTTCAGGCCCTCCCAGCTCCTTGTGGGAGGAGCTCGGGCAGGTGCTGGGATGAGTTTCTGGGCAGAGTTACCCAAAAAAGGCCCAGCCTGGGAGGAGAGACAGCTTTAATTACCTGCAGCTCTGTCTGTGCCACGGGAAATGTGCTTTTAATTACTCCAGAGCCAGCAGATCCTGAGCAAACCCATTTCGTTTGGAAGCAGAGTTTAACACCTGCTCTGAACCCCATGATGTGTCTGATTTTTGGGAATTTCCAGACCCTTCTCTGTGCCCAGCAGGGTCCTGTGGGTATTTTTGGGGGGCAGGATGGCACCACAGGCTGTGGGTTTGAGCATCAGGACACGCTCAAGTGCTGCACACACGGGTGGGTGGGTGGAATCCAGAATTCCCAGGACTCCCACAGGCTGTGGAGGAGCACCAGGAATGTGGAAGGGAGGCTGGGAGACTGAGAAGTTTTGGGATAAGGGTTAAATAACAAACACAGAGCGAGGAGTTGGATGTGCTCAGCTCCCAAAACCAAGCTGTGATTGCCTTTCCCAAAATCCTCGCAGAGGGAACTGATTTTATTCCATGTTTAAACCCACTGGAGATGCTGGGAGCAGCTCAGCTCCAAACTGCTCATCCTTCCCGGGGTGGAAACAGCAGAGCAAGATGATGGGAAGGGGTTTTTAAACCTCCAGTGGATGAAAAGGGTTAACAACAGAAATAGAAACCAGGAGCAGCAGCTCGGTTATAAAATGGCCAAATCCCACATTTCCAGCCCGTTTTTTTGTGTGGATTCTGACAAGGCACGAGCTGAAATGATTCATTTCGAGCTCTTGCTTTTGTTGAGAGTGGAAATGTCTCAATCTGACTCTGGCACAAGTGCTCTGTGCAGAGCTGACAGAGGAGTTGTGCCGATGTTTTTGAAGCAAAATGGGTTTGCTTTGGGAAAATGAGGCAGCTCAGCATAATCAAAACAAAGCGCTTGGATCACTCCCAGCCAAAAATCTTTCACTCGAAGAGAAATTTTTTTTTTTTTTTTTTTATCCTTTTCATCCCGATTTTGGAATTCATCCTCATGTTTTAAAATTCAGTTCTGCCACAGCACGGAAATTTCATCTCCCAGCCTGCTGCAAGGGGTAGAAATCAGGGAAATGCTGCTGGGAGAGGGATGTGTTTGTCTGGAAGGTGCCTTCCCCAGGGGAAGTGTGGGACTGTCCTTTGTGCTCAGGCTGCTCCACAGGAGCCTGGGGTACAATGGCAGGGAATAATCCCGGATTCCTGGGGGGAATGCACTGAAATAGCAATGGGAAGGAGCTGGGGGATGCAGCAACTTGTTGAGGTTTTGAGGATGGATAAAAGATGTCAGGGAGGGAGGGAGCAGCTCTGGGAATTTGGGAATTGGGGGCTCCTGGTGGTGCCCCTTCTTCCTTTGGGAAAAGAAAGTCTTCCTGAAAAAAAATCCA